TAGAAAAAGGATAGTTGTATGAGGAATTTAATCCATGAGTAAAAGGAATTAAATACTTCTGGAATAAAGATTAGTTCTGTCTAGATCCCAAAGGAAAGAATTAATTATCCAAAGCCATGTTGTATAACTGAGAACATTTTGTCAGCATCTGGGACAGTGGTGGAAAAAAGGGCTCAGGAAGTGGCAAGCTTTAATTTTTGGTCTTGTCTTAGTGAGTCTGGAACCTCTATTGCATGTTGACTATACATCCCAAGATTTTCCAGGACAGGCCCTAATTTTGGATGTTATATCCTCTTGGTCATGTTAAATTATTAAATTACCATCTAAGTACAGACATTTAGGCATACAACCTACATCCCAAAAACTGCCTCTTATACCTAGAAGGTGTATTAAAACCTTTTATCTTTTATTTTTAGGTTGAAAAATATGATCACTATTATCCAAATTCTTACAGTGCTTTTCAATTATGTATCTGGAATCCAATAAACTATAAATTAATGCCACCAAGTATGAAATTCTAAGTGTGATATGGGTATTTCAAAACTCTATACCCAAATAAACCCTCAGAGTAAAAATAATTCATTGCTATTTAAGAAACAGAAGCTTAAAAAAAATCTCTAGGAAAAAAAAAGGAATCAGAATTGGCAATTCAGTTAAGCTTAACAGACACATACTGAGTACCTACTCCCATACCTCTTAGAGACCACAGGCCCTGCGGTCAAGGGAATTTTGTGCACCCGACATCCAGACCTGCACTTTGCCTGTTACTGGATTAGCTTAAAACTCTAGGCACCCAAATTTCCAAGCTCACAGTCATGCCTCACTTCAGTATTCCCATCAGAGAGGGATTATAGATGTTTTAACAATCTAGAGATTGCCTGAGTGTAAGAATTTTTTTCCCTCCAAAAATTTTGAAAACACAGGACAGTAGATGGACACCAAAGAACAGGAGGGCTTGAGGAAGGAGCAAGGAGTAATTTTCCAGGTTTCTCTCCTGTACCCATGTTTAGGCTGAGGGTATTAGCTGTGTCCAGGTTCAGGATGTGGTCCCAGAGTTCGGCAGGGCTGATTTTAGATGACGGGTTACAGTTTACTACAAAGCCAGCCAGTAGCAGAATGAGGTGGGGGCAGAGGGCGAGGCGGACACAAACCCTTCTCGCAAACAACGTGGATGTTTGTGGCGTAAGGGCTGGGAAGAGAGCCCCGCCCATCCCTGCAGAAGAAGAGCAATGATTAGACTCAGGTGTGCCAGCACCACCAATGAGAAGCCTGTGGAAAACAAACCTACAGCCGGGGCTTCCACGATCTGACATGCTGATGTGTGTACAAACAAGAACACCACCTGTGGGTCTTACTAAAATGAGAAAGATTAGAACCTCAGAAATACGTCTCCCTCGTTCTGAAAAAGCATGAACAGCAGGTGACAAAGGCTTATCAAAGGTGGCAGGTCGCCGTCTGTCAGCTGCCCAGTGTGATTTCCCAGCAATCAAGGAGGGGAGGCGGGCAGCAGGCACGAGAAAGGGACAGGTCGGGGAGGTGGAGACATTCACCCTAGTCTTACTCTAAGAGTCGCTACTCCTTCACATGCTGAATGAGCCTCATCACAAGGGGCTGGAGCAGATGGGTATCCATCCAAACCAGAATTAATTTGAGATAGATCATAGGCCTATATATAAGAAGGAAAACACTGAAAAACAGAACTTTCCAAAGGCAGTGGAGGGCGTCAAGGTGGCAGAGCCAAAGCTGGGCAAAGCTCAGAGCTCAGGCCCCAAGGACCAAATGAAAACCTGGGTTCCCTTCTTGGTAAATGCACTAACAAACATGCCTTCTGCAGAAGTGAGCAAAACAAGTGATGCCCACAAAGCACTCAGCATAGTCCACGCTCACTGAATGTTGGTTACTGTTACTCCCTTCTTGTCAAGCACTGTAACAAGGGAACCGAGATGCCCGATCAACGTGGCATCCTGAGGACGTGAGCCCACGCCCTGCAAAGCAACTGATGACAAGAAGAGTGTCATACAAAACAAGAGGTTTGAATTCACTTCCTTTGTAACAATTCTCACCTGCAAATGGGCTGTTTGAAGTTGATCTGGCTACGCGTGGTGTGCTCTATGCATTCCTGAGTGCAGCCATGCTAATGAGCCTGAACCCTCAGCAGCAGCCACGTCCACTCAACTTCACTGTTCCAGACATGCACTGTGGCCTGAATCCCATCAACCTTTAGATCTAACTTCCAGTTTGAAGTAAACAGAGGGACTAGAGGCACAAATTTGATGATATTATAAGGAAGGAAACAAAAAAATCCAGATTGTGGGACATTCTGCAGGACACACAATGGATCAAGTTCTCTTCATTAAGCCTAGCGTCATGAAAAGGTTCTTAATGGCAAGATTGAAAGTGATACAAGGGACATACCAACTACGTACGATGCGCGATCTTGGAGGGATCCTGACTGGATAATGCGGGGGACATTTTGAGGACGACTGGAGAAAGCAGAACGTGGGATGTAAGATAAAGATAGGTAAACATTTACTGACATGTAAGAGTATTACCTGAACAAGTGCGACAAGTGGCAAATCGGCATAGCTCATTTGGTGAAAGTGCACACAAACACACGCACAGGCAAATGTCAGGAAGGATCAATGATGAGGAATTAATAGTCCTAATTTATAGGTCAGTGTGCGATGTTCTCTTTTTTTATTTATCTGTATTTCTTCTAAGATGTACATATGTTGATTTTGTAACGATAACAGGTTATTTTTAATTTAACAAAGATCTGATTCTAAAAGAAGGCATAATGAAGGAAGGTGAGAATCTGGGGAGGGAAGTGGTGTGTGTGATCAACAGAGTGGGGGCTTCCTGGTGGTGCTGGTGCTCACTGTCATTTAGCCACGGGGCCACATGTGGGACACACACACACACTCCCTCTCTCTCTCTGAGGTGGGGTCCCGGGAAAAGCAGAAACATTGTAAAAATACTTGGGGTCAGTTCTGTCCACCACGCTATTCAGTACACATATAACCCCTGGGGGATTCTCTGCACAAGGTCCACAAACTCCTAGAAGATCCATGGGCCCTGAGATCAGTATTTAAAGTCTGTGCCAGAATCTAACCGAAGAAGGTTAAGAACCACTGCCCCAAATGTTACCTCTGTTGCTTTTTAATACTGGGTTATTGAAAATGCTCTTTCAGTTCCAGAAGATCTGGGAGAAGGATGAGGAAGGCGGTTAGACCCTCTAATCCAAGTGACCCTTATAAGGCCATCAAGCCATCACTTTCCCCGGCTGCTGGTGGCACCAGGAGGGCAGAATATACGAGATCTCACAGTCAGGACAGTAAGTTTCTCAGTGGCCCCCAGAGCCACCAGACGCTGCTACCAGCTGGAACATACAGAGGGCAACAGGACTTCAGGTCCTCACTCCCCAGACTCACTGGGACCTTCTCCCCCTCCATAATCTCAGTCCTTAGCCATCCTCAAAGAATCAAAGTGAACCAGAGAGCCCTGATTTGATGGGATACAGTAACTACCTGGAGGGCAAGATGTCAAAAATTTGGGAAAGTGCGAGCAAACTCAGGGGTGAGTGAGGTGAAGGGCTCTTCTTTATCTTTGGAAGTTTCCGCTCAGAGGATTAATTTCTGAGCAGCAGGTTGCTACCTCCAAAACGCCAGGAATTCAGTAAAAATGGATTCCTTGGGACCTTGATCAACTGACTAGATAAGCTAAAGGGAAAGGAAGCCGAGGCTGCTGTCTGTAATGAACAGTTGTTTTATTAAAAACAACTTTGGTCAGATTCCCAGCAATATTAAGTCTTTCAGATCAGAGGCTTTTATGTTAAAAAAAAAGTGTAACAGGAGGATTGAACTTCCATCCACCCAGAAATCAGGTTCAAAGACCAACCACTCTCTTGGAGGCAAGTGTTGGCACCTGTGCTCCAGCGGCAAGAAGCGCCCCCTCTCAGCAGGACAGGTTGAGCAGCGTGCCTGGGAAGGGCAGAATGTGTGTCACACGGGGTGGCTCCTGCTCCTGCAGAGCCTGGGTTTGGGGACGGTGAAGGCAGGACAGGCTCAGCGTCTGAGTAGTGCCCGCCACCCACACTTGCACACTCAGAAGTGTTTTCACAAGTCAGCGGGTTATACTTATTGGAATAGGCATTCACGCTGGCACTCCTTAAAGTTAAGTGTGTTTTATAAGGTGTTACATCTTCTTCTGTCAATATTTTTCACTGTGAAGACAGGGGACTACCTCCTCCCCGCCCCCACTGGTTGTCCAGATGTACGGAGTCCCAGCGAACAGAAAAAACTGCCGCTGTCACGTTCTTACAATACTCTGAGGAAGTGAAGTGAGAAACAGAGGCGAGCATCTTCAAACACCCGGCAGGAAGGGCTGGGCAGGCAGAAGTGGTAAAAGGGTATTTTGCAAAATAAAAAATACTGTAAACAAAACAAAAATAGAGTTTATCCCCGATTAGATGGAAAAGAGACAAGACGTTACGATGGAATTTAAGACTGTGTTGAATGGTGGGTATGACAGAACTCTAAGCTTGACTGTCTAAATTGAAAGCATTGAAAACATTGAGTATTAGATTAAAAGAAAGTGACCAAAGTATCCAAAAAGCCAGGTATTAAGAGTTTGGAGAGCTGGTTGGAATCCTCTGATTATCTGGGGGTCAAGTTTAATACTGCTCCTTTGCTGGGTCACCTCGGTGCTGACCAGGAGGTGGGAAGAACTAACCCAGGCAGGACTTCAGGGATTTGGCTGGAGGTTCAGAGCTGGGGCGCCCTTGTTCCTCAAGCCCCCCAACAAAACGAGCTCAGGTTACCCGCACAGGGAAACAACCAAATAGCTGTGATGGTCCTTCCATTCCCTCAGACGGCCTCACTGGAAGACCTTTCTAGATTCTTTGCTACAATGTGCCGCTTCCTTAGCATTTACACAGACCGCAAGACACCAGAGGGGACGTGTCTCTGGTGACACGTCAGATGTTCAAGCCATGTACATACCTCATCTCCGTGCATATTTGCCACGTATTTGAATTCCGGAATCCCAATTCTGTGTTCCTTTGGAGAGCGTCCCACAACAAGAACCCACAGGTTTCTGCCTTTACCGGGAAGAAAAATAGAGAAATGAGTTGTCTTTTAAAATGACAAGTGAACTCTGGGAGCGTGAGGATAGTGAAAAAATGACATGCTTCTCCCAACTGAGAAACGTTTCAGGACAACCTCAGTTCACGGGACCAACACCTCCGTTCTTTTAGTTTACTGCCAGCCAAGACCCTTGCAATTTAGCACAAATATTTAACTTCTAGAATGTGACTTTTCAAAATTGAAGCCTTAAAACTGAAGACATTCTGTATTGGGTGCTGAAGTAACAACCCATCAGCCTCTCTCTACTCCCAGAGTTCCAGCAGGACAAGCCCAGAGAGAAGCAGACACTGCGTGGGTGGCCCGGTCCCAGGAGCAGAGCTGCAGTGACGATGAGGCATGTCACATGCATGTCCCACCCACGAGGCTCTGGTCTCCAGAGTGATGCATCAGCTGTTTCCCAGACTTGTGTATTTCTCTGTGTGTCCTTACAATTCCCTTTTGACCTAAGTCAAAGCTTGGGAGAGCTTGCTCGATGCACTGAGTTCATGTCCTCACACAGATATGGGAAGAACAGCGCTACTGGCAAGGCAGCCGTAAGGCTGGCGAGCTCCTCCCGCTTTCCCGAAGAATAATCCAAAGGTCTGACACCCAACCTTCAGTCTCCCTCGTTACCCACACGCACACAGAGCTTACCACACAGCACACAAAGCCCTACGTCAAGTCCTGTCCCCTGGAGAGTTGAAAACAGCACATTACTTCAGTCAGGTTAAACACTCAGCCTCCCAAGTCGCATATTCCCGGGCTCGGGAGTGGAGGAACAGGTCCCTGATAAGTGGCCCGTGACAAAAACAAAACCGACACAAGCAACAACAAACAAAACGGGGCCAAAGTTCCCAGACTGGCCACGCCTGCACAGTAGCAGCACTCACAGTTACGTATACTCACCACCCTGACGACCGTCAGCGGTGGGTACAAGTGTTATCCTTTCACACAGGGGGACACAAGCTCAGGTGAGCTCACAACACAGTGGTTCTCAAAGTGTGGCCCCATCAGGGTCACCTGGGAACTTGTTAGAAATGCAGGCTCTCAGGCTCCACTGAGTCAGAGACTCGGGGGGGTGAGGACCAGCAGTCTGTGTCTTAAGCTCTCCAGGGGTTCTCCTGCACACTAAAGTTTAAGCACCACAGTAACAAAGGTGGTCTATCCAGTGTCTGCTTCATCCTTAACCATATGCTGCACTGCTCCAGGCCCCTAAGGGATGGAGAATACCAAGGAAACATGAGCCCGGGCCCCAAGCTTGCCATGTGCCATTTCTGGTGTTGGGATTTTTGCTTCCCCCCCTTGGGGGAACTGGAAATGGAAGGAGGAGGCTGAAAGGACACCATAAGGATGGTTTGAGGAGTTACAGCTGTTATTTCCTCCCTCTGGAAGCAAATCTGAAATTGGTTTGCAAACTGGTGGACTGGTTTGTCCCCAGGCTGCTCTCTATTCAAAGACTACAGCCAAGCCTTGGTGACTTTGTCCCAAAGTTGGGAAATCTGGAACTGGCCGTACTTCAGAGATCTGTCTGCCAGGTGTTTTAACTGCAATAAGTTTGTCTACTAGTCAACAAAGACTAGGCTAAAAAAAGTAGAGTGGGTGGAGGAGCAACATTAGGAGAGACTGGACAAAACCCATCTGTTCTGCACATACCCTGTCTCTGGGACATAAAATTCACACACACACCCTCCCTTCACAGCTAACGGTCCAGCATTCACTATGGCTCCTCCACTAAATTGGGGGTCTGGCCAGCCAACATGCACATCTAGTCTGTCCGTTTCTGCTCTTGTTAAGCTGAGAACCCATGCTTGGACAGACGCGATTCCCGCCCCCACGTCAGCTACCTGACCAAATTCCTGACCTTGTTTGTGAACAGAGGAGCCTGTCAACAAGGGGTTCAGGGGTAGAGGAAGGAATCAGACATCCTAGGGGTCCTGTTGCTACTGTGGAAAGAGCAAGTGCCCTATTCTGCTGGAAGCAACCTTGGGCCTGGGCTGTTTCTTTTGCTTCAGGCAATTCCAACTTCAGCCCAGGGTCCTGAGTTTTGTAGCTCAGTTTGATCCAGGGATAACGGGGACCCAGGAGGCATCCCAGGACTGAGAGAAAGGTGCTCAACGCCAAAATCAGCTGCAAGGGAATTTCCCACTGCACAGAGATCTTGCTGTGGGGTCCAAAGTGGGGCCGCCTGCTGGTTGAGGGTGAGTCTGGCCCCAGAGAAGGCTGTAGGACTCAGTGGTCACCAGAGCTTCTGCGTGGGTGTCAAGCCTGTGTGCTCTGGATCTGGGAAATATGTCCGTCTGCACTTTTCCAACTGGTCCACCAGCAGTAGATCCCAATGGCCACCTACCTTAGAGCCAGCATTCCTGGCTTCTTATACTGATGGGCCAGGCCTGGACAAGGGAGCTTCAATCAGCTGAGGGTGCCAATCCTGCCACTGTCGGGGGAAGGGCTGGCTGTTTCCCGGGACCACGTCACTGTCATCAGTCTTCACCAGTGACCTGTTGTCTTCCCCGCCCCACCCCATGGCTGCACCACTGCCATCATCTATCCCCTGCTCAAGTTCTAATTCTGTGTAACTTTTCTTTACACATTTTTCACTCTTTGAGATTTCAGGTTTAATCATTTACTTGTGTGACATCTATCTCAACCAGAACGTAACACAAAAGAGCACTGCCTATGTGTTTACCATCTTGATCCATTTGCCTGTTTTGTTCACTGTTATATTCTCAGCACCTAACAGTGCCTGGTGCATAGTAGGTGTTGGATAAATACCTACTGTGGTATTTCCAAAAGTAATTGGTGCATCTCTAGGATTACTTTTTCTTGGTAACCACTGGCACATCTGACCCAGATTCCTCCCTCCATGTTCAGGGTCCCACCACCACCTGACCTCCACCTGCATCACCCACTATCTGCTAACACAAGTGCTCTGACTGGCGCCAGGCTCCTCTCTGCACCATTGACTCAGCCTCATCTTGACTGGTGGTGTCCTCAGCCTAAAATGCATCAGTGGATTTTCTGCCTTTTTTGTTTGTTTGTTTCTCAAGAGAAGTGCAGGTGTATTGAGGTTGGATGGAACATTAGGGAGATTAAGCGTATTTGGGTAAAAACAAACCAAAACCAAACCAAAATGAAAGGACCCCTCACCGCCCTCACCAGTGGGAATGTATTTGTTTAATATCACAATTTCCTGTCAGATGACAATGAATCAGGCGCCCATGGGTTTAATAATAACATTTCAGCTCTTTGCCGTGTCTCCCAGTAGGAAACTGTGTAGAAGTCCTTTGGCAGATTGTATGGACCTTGTGGGACCAGATCACTTGTATAGGTCAGCGGTCCCCAATCACACCATCATCTGGGACCCCTTTGATCATTAACTACTCCCACTAAAATAAACAAACCAAACTAAACCTATGTTTGGAAGGCCACTGCTTGTAAACTGGCTCCATTTATAGGTTGTAATTATTTCATTACCCATTTTATGTTAACCAGAGACATAACTGTCAACCTCAGCTTTTGATTACCACCTAACCAGTGTTTCTGCCTTTTCAAATCCTATGTGTTTAACTATAAAAAGTTTCTCCAAGCTACTCTGACTCTCCTGATTTCTCCTTTTTTAGAATATTTCTATAAAATGACACCACAAGCATTGCCATTCAGAAACATCCTGGTCAGTTACATCTCAATGAAACAACCAGCCAACCAACCAACAGCCTGCCTTTCAGCCCGTTTTCCAAGGGTTTCACGTGGAAGAGTCCTGTTTCCTCAGCAATGTTGTCAGCATTGCCTGAGCCGTCACGGCCTTCTCCCCAACTGGATCTGCCTTATAAACTGGGCCATCCACCAGGGTTTAGGTCACCTTCTTAGCAAAAGCCTCTGTATCACGGGTGGTGCATCATTCAGTACCCTGTTGAAGTCAGGTGTGGTCACATGACTTGTTCTGGCCAATAAAATGTGGGTAGAAATGACAGATGTCATCTCTAGGAAGAAACTTTAGGAGCCAACACATGGTTTGCCATCTCATTTTCCCCGTCACAGCTCAGGCAATGTTTTGATAGAGCTGCTCTGTCAGCATGGGTCCTGGAGGAAAGATGCCAGGGAACAGAGCCACCAACAACAATGGACAGATAATGTGAGTAAATAGAAGCTTCTCTTTTGCTGTTATAAACCAGTGAGATTTGGAGGTCTTTCATTTCTGCAGTCTAGTCTAGTCTGTGCTGTCTCATGTGCCCTCTGTAACCAGCCCAAACCCAAATTATCTTCCCCCTCAGTGAATGCTCATTGTTCATATTACTGACACTGGTGTTTGTTGAGACAGAAGTTCCCAGAACACTAAGATTGTGTGGAGGTGACTCAGAGGTGAGGGAAGTTTAGAACCTCTGCTTTAGAACTACTCATCTGGGCAACCTAAATGTCCATCAACAAATGACCAGATAAAGAAGTTGTCATATATACATAAAATGGAATACCACTCAGCCATAAAAAAGAATGCAATAATGCCATTTGCAGCAACATGGGTGGATCTAGAGATTATCATACTAAGTGAAGTAAGTTAGACAAAGACAAATTATCATATGCTATCACTTACATGTGGAATCTAAAAAGAAATGATACAAATTCTATTTACAAACCAAACACAGATTCACAGACATAGAAAACAAACTATGGTTACCAAAGGGGAACGGAAGGGGAGGGGCAAATTAGGGATTGGAGATTAACAGATACACATAACTATACATAAAACAGATAAACAACAAGGGCCTACTGAATAGCACAGGGAACTATATTCAATTTCTTAGAACAACATATAGTAGAAAGAATCTGAAAAGAAAAAAACGTGTACATATGTGTAAGTGAATCATTTTGCTGTACACCTGAAAATAACATTGTAAATCAACTACACGTCAACAAAAAGTTAGAAATAAAAAAGACACAGATGAATTTGTTTACAAAACATAAACAGACTCACAGACAT